CTATAGCCACACTGAGCTCATTCGCACTTGTTCGAAACAGTCCAGTGTCTTGCTTCAATTCCCACCCGAAAGTGTTCAATGCAGTGCTATAGATGGTATACTTGACAGTATCCTATCTCTGCTAAACCGTTCCTCTAGGTGGGATTACGAGGAGGACGTCCTTCAGAGACTTGAATATCGCCGATTTGGTTGAGTTCTGTATTGTGTTGGCATTGGTACGCTGTTTTCCTGGAGGTTTGGCATAATGCATCCTCAAGGAGTGATCCGCGTTACAGTCGGCGCTCTGAAAGTATTGCGTCCTGGGCACGTTTCTCGAGTTTCTGCGTCTCGTGATGATCAAATTTAGCTGATGCCAGTGTTTAAAGCGAGATGTCGCTTGGAGACTTTGCCTTGGAAATATGTGTTGGTGACTCATAGCCGCTGAAGCACACACCAGCTTGAGCAGTCGTTGGCCATAGCCATTCAATTTATCGATTCCAGACAGCTAGACCATGAATTGTGATCAGCACCCACTCTGGCACAGAGGTCGCCAAGTATTAGCAACTGTTCCTTTTTTTCGAAACGGTCTGTATCTTCTTTGATAGCCGATTATAAAGCTCATCTTTGACGTTGGGTAAGCGCTCCATTAGAGGTATGCAGTCGAAGTGAGTAGATTCGCTCTGATCAATCTTTGCACCATCTTCAAAAACGCATTTTATACGTGCTTTCTGATCATCCTTGCCTTTTCCCACCAGAAGAAAGTTCTTTCTCTCACACACTCCCCCTCTCTTTCTCTCTCTGTCACGAAGGAAGATGTCTCTTGAAGTGCTGCAATCTCCACTCGAAGCCGAAGTAGTTCACTGTTAGTCACTGTTGTTTTGCAGGGTCGTTGATCTCGTGGAGGTCATGTGATAGACCAGTTGTCATAGTCCGTACTTTCCAACATCCTATACTGAATGCTGTTATCTTTTCTTTGATTCTTCGTTGTTTTGCTTAGTGCAGTGGTTGCTGACCGCTATTCAGGGTACTTTTATCCCTAGGTTCCACGAAACCATTGAAGCAGGTGGACTGTGGCGTGACAGCACCTTATTGCCTGGTGGATGCCCAACTGAAAACAAACCTTAGCTTTCCAGTGAGGCGTCGAAAGCATCCCTTGGCGTCTTGATTCACGCCAATCAAGCGTTGACTTATAACAGGTAGGCTGTTACTTCCCGGGTTTTTCCGTCGTTTTGTAGGCCTGGGTAGGGTTTGAAGAGAGACCAACAGTTGCCCATGCAGCATGTCTCTTCCCTCCACGCCCCAAAGAAATCTTGAATCCGAAAAACATCCTACAATTTGGGGTATAACACCTCCTAATGCACTAAAGAAACAAAAGTAGTCCTCAACCCTGTAAGCGTTATCGCAATTTCATCCATCATGGTCAAAGTATTAATGAACATTATATTAACTAGGCTCCCATCTTTTTATGAATGTCAACTCCTCACGAACTCATTTGATTTTTGTTCTGTTAAAGGCTGAAACGATGACATATATGCCATCAAACTCCAGGAAATTTCTTACCTCTCTAATAGGGATCCGTATACCGGCTTTGTCAACCTCACAGAAACATATGACCACATCAATAAAGACTTCCTCTTCTCATCCATTAGAAATCGCCTTCTAAGCCCCGAATCAACTAAATACATAGAGCTAATAAAGGAACTGTATCGATCTACAAGTCTGGCGAGGATATCGGTACAGAAGCATTTCAAACCACATCGGGCGTATAAGAAGTAAATGAGAGTTCTGGTTTATCATTTCCTAGACTATGCCTTCCGCATTTCCAAACACATATGGGTAGATGTGATTTAGGCATTATATACCACATCTCAAACGAATCTATTAATAGAAAACTGCGTTCTTGTATTGTCTCTAGAGGTTGGTGTACTAATGATTAGCGGTCTGTGTCAGTGACACATGTATTCATAGTTTGAATAAGAATGATCTTGAACAAAAATCAATATTCAAGTGTTCCACAAAATAGAACTCAATATAAACCTTCTAAAAATAAAAAACTATGATCTGGAATTGGAATGAAAGTAATGATGGCACCTACTCTGGATCCATCTTGAATTTTTAAGATTTAGAATTAGTAAATACTAAACACTTCAAATACTTCGGTGAAAAGATTAGTTATAACAAATTTACTATATGAGATTAGGAAATTGAACGTATAATAGGGTGTGCGGATAGTTTCGTCCAATACCGCAAGTTGCTACAAAACCAAAAATTAATCTGAAAACTAGATACTTGTTTTAAATAGTCTCGTGAGATCGAGACTTTCATATGAACCTCATACATGGCGCCAAATCCATTCAGAAATATCTAAGCTGTTAATTATATACAACTGCTTTCTCAGATCAGTGGTTAGAATGGCTTTGAACGAAGGACCATCCTCCTTCGAACCTTGTTGGCTAGCGCTTTTCATGATGTCAACGAATACTCGTTGTCACTTTCGTAATGCTCCCTGTAGTAGAGACTTTGTAATCGCAGATACAACTTTAGTAAATTCCGTTGAACAATGCTGGTGTCAGACGCCTTCGAATAACACTCGCCTTAAAAGTACTTGCTTGATAATAATCGTTCGAATAGTAATCCGTGTAGCGATCCAAATAGAGAAATAGTATAGAAAATAGTATAGCTGTCTGTATAGAGACAGAGTAGAAATGGAGATCCGTAGAGTAATAGAGGATAGACTAGAAATGCAGATCAATCTAGACGTCACGCGACTTCCTATATATGCGTTTCCTCTATGGTCACGTGATCCACTTAATGAGATCGCCTGGGTTTGCTCATTGGCGATCTATGTTCAAACTCAAGTGTCGGCAACGTTATCTTATTCCTATGTAACACGCTATAGAATCACTAACAAAGAGCAGATAACAGAAACACTATCACTTGAGGACTTTGAACAACAGTAACGACTGAAATTGATATCATATGTAATTGAAACAGAAAATAATGACATAAATAATGATATAAATAAATGTTGACATAATAAATAATTCCACACTACTTCAAATAAAAGGTTAAGAAGGAAACGCCTATCAATACTGGAAAGAGTGATATCAGTTACTGATCCTAGGGAAAACCCATTTTCCTAAAAAATTGTTTAAATTACAACCAACGATAGCACTGGCTGCCCAGTCAATCAGTACTACAATAACCATTTGGTGAAAATAAACAAAACTAACTCTGCCGAAATTCGAAACTGGTTCGCCAATTTCTCTTTCAGAGTCGCTAGCCATTACATTATCTGCAAATCCTTAGCTTAGCCTGTATTGGAAGTGCAGGAGCTTTTCGGACCGACTTCGTACATTTTCATTTTTCGAAGTCCGGTAGATAAGAAACAGAACTAGGGACATTTAACTAAAGATATATTACAGCTGACAAACATTATCAGACCTTAATCATTATAAATTGTAATACATTTGATTGTTGTGTTTATGAGGCAGAATTCCAGTGATATCTCTTGTCAATCGAGAACACGAATTTTAGTGATGCAATAATAATGATTTTAGGAGTCAAGTATCTTCACGCATTAATTCTTCAAGTAATATTTGAGTCGTATTGATTTTACAACAGTGTCGGAGACAGACTACATGATAGCAGGTCAGGCTAGGAAATTTATTCGACCTCATGTTTTGTAAACTCATCTTGAAAACCACTGTGTGTTCGATTCTCGCTCTTTGCTCCTGACTTCTGGTCTTTTGCTTTACAAAGTTCAACATTATTATATTTAATTTTGTGCTTTGCCGTGAATTAAATGTTGGCTCTAATCTCATAACCCATGATAGGCTGCTAAACAAAATCAACCAAACTATCAACCTGGGTTATTTAATTCTAAAATTAACTTTATGGCTTCAGATATCTTGTACATACATTTACGCCCAAAATATAAAATTGTTTTTTTAGGTATATAGTTTGTAGATGATAAAATATATTGTTGGTATTTTTTTAATGTATTGCAGGTAATTTGACTATAAAAAATGTATTCTTTGATTTTTGTTTAGGGGTTCACTATTTGCCCATAGCTTGGGGCTCGAACCAGTCCTACCCGGGTCAGGGTGGACCTGGGAAAAGCAGTAGTTAAAATAACTGCAATGAGTTCGATCCTCACTAGGTGACCTTGTAGTCGTGTCATACAAATCAAACTATTAACCAGCTTTTTCACTATTAGCATTAGTAATGTAAAGGGTTTTCAAACACCAAATTTAAAATATTCTATAGGATTTAGTTCTTACTTTGGTTGCTATATATTATCTTAAGAATTATTTCCTGTTTTTATAGGGTAAATAGAAATAGAACATTGTTTTTTTTTTTTGTTTTTTTTTTTGGGAGGGGGTTATTTTAAAAATCGAATGAAAAATATTAAAAATGAATTTTATAAGTCCCAGAAATTCAGATGGGCAAAAATAGGTTTTATTTTATTTTAACTAAACAAATACAACAGTTTGTAAGACATATTTCTTGATAAAATCCAATGAAAATTCAGCAGTATTATTGGTCCTAACCTGGCGTTTTCGCTTCTGTGACTATCCCACCGCCATAATGTAGCTTCCCTGTGCCTTTTCTATAAAGACTTTCATGGTAATTTGTTCGCGTAAACTCTTCGCTTTCATACCTAGACTTTATGGATTTAAGCGCAGTACAAGATTGGCGGCAAGGTCTCATCAATTCAGTTGAATCGGCTAGCTGTAACCGTAAGTTCTATGATAATAGTTCCTTTTCCCGCTAGTAAAACTCTCTTCCAGCTTCTTGCTTTCCAGTCAACTTTGGCATTGCATTTAAATTTTTGAAGATGAATCGTTATCTACTTTCTTCTTGATGACTCTTCTATTGTTCTTACTCCTAATAATAATGTTTCCTTTTTTTTCTTCTTTCACACACACTAACACTGTCTTAATGGCTTTACTGCCTTGCATAGGGATAAATGATTTAAAAATATGAGTAAAACTAGAACGCTCTTATAGTTACTTACTTATGTCCACATCACGCTTAAACCACCAATTCTCGTTCGATCAGCGAAGTTAAGCAACGTCTAGCCTGGTCACTACCTAGATTGGTGACCGTTTGGGAGTACCAAGTGCTGTAAGCTTGGGTGTGCGAGTGATTTAACTGATAATGGCTTAGAATTGTTAATCGAAGAGCCGAGTTCCTATCCAAGTTGGGTTCGTTATATCCACTTATGCACAAATCCAATAACCTTGGGAAAGCTATCAATCCACCTTCTCCCCTTCTATGGGTTAATTAGTAAGACATGCATCACTAAACCATTGTTATCTCCAAAAATTCTTACAATCTAAAAAATATTTTCTGGCTTTAAATAACCTCCAAATGTGTTGACAAGCTGTAGGAAATTAGTCACACAAACTTATTAAAAACTCATGAGCGCTGCCTCAGGACTAAAATCACACTTTCTTATTTCTTACATGATGGCAATTTTTTGCGACATGTTTGTCATTTTTTTATCCGATTTTCTTCAAAGTTATTAAAGTTTTTATTTTAAGTAGTACGAAAATCACGATTTTTTTCAGATTTTTTTTTTGTGTGTGTGTGTGTGAAGCCAATGTCGCAGGAAAACTATGAAGCACTCTACATAAACCTCGTAACATGAGCTGATGTTTTGCATCAAGTGCAAAGAACATCAGCTCATCCAGTAAAATTTTTTGTTCGCGTGTAACTTTGAAGGTGGGCACGACTTTCTGCAAAAACCAATGCAATTTCATGATTTTTTTTAAAAATCCGGGGGCGTCTGGATATTGAAAAGTTGGTCTAAATCTATTTTTAATAAATTTGCAAAATAGGTGTAGAATTTCATCGAGGAATGTGCATACAGACAGACATCTGTTTTATAGATAGAGAACAATCTTTCTTTCTATACATGTTTCATTTAATGTGACGGTTAAGGAAAATGTTAATGTTTTTATTCAATTTTATTTTCTAGTATTCTTAGTTTTTTCTTTAATGGGGACTGAGGAAGTGTCGAAACATTCCGTAGTGATTATCTTTAGCAATTTTAAATGATTCTCTGCTGAAATTGTTAATGTACTGACCGAAAGCGCCTCGGACAACCTCTACGTAAAGGTTTTACACTATTACAGGGTGCCGATACTATTTTTGGGACACTTTGAAAAGTGTGCTTAAAAGGTGTTTTTTTTTTGCTGCCGAGAACTTTTGTGTTGATGAGTAGGTAGTTCAGCAGTAACTGTCCATTAATGGTATGAACATTGATTGATGGGTTTGTCTTTTACTTCAACTTATGTCCGAAAAATAGTGTCGCCTGACACAAATTCCGGGTTTTTTAATGATTTAGTCGTCGAACGTCTACAATATGCAAATTTTCTGCAGGTAAATTGTACCCTGACCATTACATTTGAGTATCTTTACCATTCACTGCGAAAACGTATTAAAATCCTGAAGAAGAAAGCATTCAAAAGAAGTCATCAGTTTGATCCAAAAGAGAGAAGACGGACTCAGCATCCGAAAGATCACCGCTGAGATGAAGCTACCGAAGCCAACAGCTGAATACATGCTATGTACAGACTATGAGCGGAAGAAGAGAGGACGGAAAAAACAATTTTCAAGAGAACAGAAAGAATGAAAAGGAGTGTTACTCATCTCGAGAAAAGGTGACAGCGAAGAAAGTAAGAGAAGTGTGAACTTGACGTCAGTGTTCGAACTGTACAAAGAAAGCTACACGAAATTGGACTTAAGGATGTTAAAATCAAGAAAAGAATTACACTAACGAGAAAACGCAAGGAGGCAAGGCTGGGAAGCCAAAAGATGGATAACAAACCATGTCGACTTCAAGAATGTGATATTTACTAATAAAAAACGTTTTAAGTTCGATGGACCTCATGGGTGGTGTACATGGTCGAGAAAAGGTGGCCCGGTTATTCTCAACAAGAGACAGATGGGAGGAGGAGGAGGAGGAGGAGTCATGGTTTGGGGTATGGTATTTCCGAATGGAAACTTGTAGCTCGAGTGGCTAAAAGGACGTCAAAATAGCTTGAGCTACAGAGAACTTTTGGAAAAGAGAGCCCTACCACTCATAGAAAAAGAAATGGGAAGTAATTTTATTTTGCAGCAAGATAACTGCAGCATCCATGTGGCCAAATCAGTGAAAAATTGGATGTGTGAAGCAAATATAACTACTCTGGAATGGCCTGCAAGAAGTCCAGACTTAAATTTAATTGAAGACATATGGGAAATGCTTGCAGAGCTTGTTTAAGACGGGCCAGAAATAACCAAATAGGCTGAACTGTGGCAGCACATACAAGATGCTAAAAATAGACTGCTAGAAACACGAAGAGACGTTATTATCAATATGTACGAACATTATGAAGATAGAAGTCATTGAAAAAAGGGTGCTGCCATAAACTATTAGCATTGTTTCTGAAATGTCCGAAAAATACTGTCGCCTGTGTAATGTGAAACTTTGTAAAAAAATAAAAATACTTCTAATTTGAATTCTGCTTTTCCATTTGTAGTATTGAAAGAGTTTTTAAATGTTATTGCCATTACACTAAAACGGTACAGACTGCTTGTGCTACCTAAGTGTCTGAAAAATAGCGCCGGCCCCCTGTAGTCCCCATTTAAAGAAAATGAATGCGGAATGTTTCCTTAAGAAAAGTAAGTAAGACTTTCTATGTCTAGGCTGGTGAACATTAAGTTTTTTAAAAAAAAAAAAAAAGTATCTACTCAAACACGTACGAAAATCAATTCATTAAATTATATATATATATATATAATTTTTTTTTAAATTTAGAGTTTTTTTTTTTTTGTTTTTAGGTATATAATCTAGCCGATTTCATTTAGATTCTTTTTGTTTCCATCACTTTTGTTATAAAATAACCCCAGATTGTCCTTGATATATAAACTTTTATATATCGTTATCCCAAATGTATATATGATAAAAATATAGTTTTAAGGTACGCTATATGGATGGGTAAAAGTTCTTGGTAACAGAAATTGAGCGTATATCATATAAAAGTGGACACTGGGATCAACACCAAGCGACTAGAGTATTTCAGGCATGAACGCAATCTTCAGGCCATGTGTGTTGGCTCGACTATTTATATATGCTGGTCATTGGTGCATTATGGGTAATAAGGTCTATTGTATTATCCTAACAGTTATTAGGTGGCCAGTAACAGTTATGTTTCAAAACACTCTAGTGGCTAATGTCTACTTATAGACATTTATTAAATTAACCATATTGGCGAATTAAAATATTCTATTAATCTTCTGTGTACACTTTCGCACCTATGATCTTGGGAAATGAATGATCATCTATTCTATTAGTACCTAGAAATTAAATAGCAGGGTAGACTACACTCTCTAGCGTTGGGTGGCAACCGTTCTAAGAGAATAAAAGCAAAATTCCAAACCGTCTTGAAGGTAATGAGGAATCAGTTTTTGCGCAAAAGGTATGGCAGTTTACAAAAAATAAAGAAAGGGTAGATGTGGAGAGCCATTATTTCTTTAAATCCTGAAGGGCAACCAAAATCTTATGTGAAACTTTTACAATATTGTGAGTATCAGTAATGTGGATAATAATTAAATAGGATTATATTTATACTTCTATCATGTTGTTTATCCTAAACTTATGTTGCTATAAATATTGTCTCTTGTTTCCTCCAATTTAAGCATTTCAGTACTGAGTAAGTCATGGCCGCATAATATCACCAGACACTCACACATAGGCAGGTATGACATTATAAAAGAAAAAAGATGTTTGGATATTTTGTACCTTTTTATCATCGCTCTTTATGCAACTGAGATTCATCGTTGAAACATTTGCAACTATAAATTGTTATTGGTTCTTTATAAAATGCCATTATCGCTCCACTCTCGACATTCTTATTTCTCTGTAAGTATCACGTAAGCAAAAAGGTTTACGCGGTAATAAATAAAAAAAAAAAAAAAAAAAAAAAAATAGTACCATCGGAAAGAAAACATCAATCATGATTAGAGATTTTTTCTTCTCTTCTACGTATACGCGTGCCACCGAATATTAATCCGCACATTTGTGTGTAAAACGTCGTAGCGAAACGTAAAGCTACGTGAACGTCTTTCCGAGTAAGTAGGTCTGTGTGACATTTTTTAAGTCAACATCATGGAATACGTATGTGCTCGTGAGGTGTTTTGTTTTATGCATTTTTCTATGAACGTCGTATGGCTTAACAGAATTCAGATGACTTTAGTTTGTGGTGAGAAATCATTAAAGAAAAGGATATCCAGCGAGGAGACAATAAAATGTGTTAAGTTATATGGTCGATTTTTGCAACATCTGTCACCGGAATTCGTGAGAATGGCTTTTCTTGTCCGACGTGTAGGAGTAATGAAATATCAAAGTGAATAATCGTATGCAAATGATATGGCCAGTGCAAAAGAATGAAAAATACAAAAAAACAGCACGTATAAGAAAAACGTAAAACATTCATGAACATTGAAAGTTTAAGCTAAAAATAGAATGAATGAAAAAAAATTACAATAAAGGAAGGAGCTATAAAAAAAAAAAAGTGATAAACAGGAAAAAGAAAGAAGAGGGAAGGACAAATGTCGTAAAGGAGGAAGAAGAAAAGATGAGGGCAGGACAAATGTCGTAGAAGGAAAGAAAGTGGAAGAATATATGAAGGAATAAATAATGAGAGAAATGTAACTTGAAAATAAATAATGAAATAAATTAGTTTCGTTAACATGAGTAAAGAGATTCATCAAAAAAGTAACGACACAAATTAAAAGGGGTAAGAAGCATGTACACACGCTTCGTAGTATATTCAAAAGAAAAGCTTTTAAAAAGAATTGTAAACTTCAATGAAGAATCGATAAAACTTAAAGGCACAGTTGCTATTTCCTTCACCAATTACATGGCAAATTTAACTAAAACACGGCGAAAAATGAAAAAAGAAACGTAATAAAGAAAATAAACAAAACTGATTTAACACTAGTTAAACTCTTTCACGGTAGAAGTTTAGCTTCTAAATGGTCCCCATTATTAGAACTCACTGGAGTTTGAAGCCACATCTGCGCTCGCGCAACAAAAAAAAAAAAATCACATTTCCGGATTGGGTCCGATGAGTTCGTGAATGAAAACAATCCATCGTGTTCTGCCAAACTGTTTAATTTGAATACAAACAGTTCGGTAGCGGAGTTACCAATTCTTGAGAATAATGAGAATTTCATTAAATTTAGAATTACCTGTTCTTACCTGAATTATGTGTTAAAATTTACAGTTTTGAAACAATTAGCTTCAGGCCTTTGTGCGAGAAGAAAAAGATATCGAGAAAGTTCATCAATCGATTATATCCTGAATAATTGTATTTTATGTAATGTGTTCTCCCAGAGCATGGGGGGGGATCATGGCTCTTCACTACTTATCCTCTGGAACACTAAGAAATATTTGTATCCTTACTATTACTCTTCGTCCTTGTTCTGTCATTCATTTACACAACAAGCCTGTTTCGCTCATACGATAGCCATCCGATTGCTTCAAGCCGGGATCAAAACCTGCCCGCTTTGACATCAGCACACGGCAGAAGTAAAGGGAATTTCTAACGTATTATTTTTTTTTATGAATATAAACAAACGCCAGACAGCCAAGTGCTCAACCAAAATTTTTCAAGCGCATAATAATTATATATATATATATATATATATATATATATATATATATATATAATGACATCTTTTTATGTTTATACGTTCTTTTTCTGGATACAAATATTTAAGTAAATGCTGTGTTTTATAATAAACAGTACTAACAACATTTACCGGCCTGAATGTCCGAGAAATTTTCATAGAAAATATTCGCTCTCCGACAGGAATCGAACCTGTATCCTATACGGAACCGTTATATTGTCTGACGTGCTTTAACCGTTTGGGCCACAGAGGAGTGTTCGGTTGGCCAAACAGTAATCGGTTAAGGTACGTCAGGCTATATGACGGTTCCGTACAGGATACAGGTTCGATTCCTGTCGGAGGACGCATATTTTCTATGAAATGTTAATGTTGTTAATACTGTTTATTATAAAAGAGCATTTACTTAAATATTTGTATCTATAAAAGGAAAGTATAAATATTCAAAAATCTTAAATAATTGTCGGACTTTGTCCATTTCATAATGCATGATATATATAACAAAAGTGATGGAAACAAACTGAGATATCCATATGGAATTAAAACAATCTACCCAGTGGGCTAAATTCGAAATTCCAAATATCATCTGAAGAAGACCAGAGCGTACAACGGCCAAAACGTCGTGAAATATGGACTGATCCTGCCATTTTTTTTTTTTTTTTTACATTTGTATTTGTTGGGTTGACATTTCGATATTTAAAAATCATTTAAATTACAAGTAAAAACCAAAATTATTTGCTGTACTAAAAAGAAAAAAAAAATATATATTTCCGGCAAATAGCGTAATCTATATATTTTTTTTTTTTAAATAACAATACAAAAAATTAGTTCCAGTCCAATATGGAGATGATTATTAAGGGAATTAACCAGAGGTAAATCTATAAATAAAACACAAACCTGCAATTGTTAAAAAAAAAAAAAAAAAAAAAAAGTGAAAATTGCCTCTTAAATAAGCAATGTTTCACTGACAACGCTGTATACAGAGCCGAAATCGAGGCACAAGACGTCCTTACGATGAATTATATTGGTTCGACCGAGGACACTTTTAAAAGATACAGGAAGCATGCAACATCGTTCGGATTGAACACGTATCGTAATAGCACTGTTCTGTCTAGATATATCTGGGAAATAACAGTTGAAGAAAAAACTCAACCAAAGAGAAGATAGTGCATAGTAAGTATAAGTTATTCAGCGTGTAGGGAGAAATTTTGAAAATTGTGAGTTGGCGATCTTGAGGTTTCTGAATTCTCTTGAATAAGAGAGCGGAAACAATGACTGGATGTTTGCGTTTGCGAGCGAGCAAACAAATATTTAATCCGAGAACACTAACCATGGGTATATAGTACCCAGCGCAAATTTTCCTATTTTTAATTACAATTTTCAGTACCTAATTTTCTTACCTAAATGTTTTTTCAGTTCTTATTAATGTTAACTCGAAGTACAAAGTTTGAAGTACCTGCATGTAATTTATTTCAAATAAAGATTTATATTTAATATTTTTATTTTGATATTTTCAAAATCAGATATGATATACTCATGGTTAGTAGGGGGGTAACCTTAATTGATGGTTAGTGTTCTAGGGTTGATAGCTAAATATGAAACCCGGATGAAACTCACATCCAGGCCAACAAAAAATACAACTATATTAGTAATATTTAAGGTATAAACTGCCAAAGACACGCGATAAAGATTGAACTTGGCCTGGCGATCCTTCATTTTTTAGGGTGAAATTTGAGTTGCCTAGGTTTCATTTTACTCTTTATTTATACAGGCTTTCCCATAATGATGGGACACATTTTAAATGCAATTGTCTTAGATTATAAAAATATGATAGCGTACCAAATATATATATTCAGTTATGTGTCATGCGTGATAAACGCTTAGGTGATCGTGTATCTTTCGATACATGACGGACGAGGCAGATATTTTTCTCGCAGTTGGTTGCAATTTGTTTCGTTGACAAGTTGCCATCCAAGGATATAGAACCCAGTGTCCTGCTATTTAGCCATAGCTGGGGCGGGGAGAAGAAGAGGATTCATACCTTTCCCAAGGGTATTAGAAGTTAATGTAATGGATTCAACTGGAATTCGAACTCGGCTCACCGAATCCTCAATCCGAGCTGCTATCCATTACTCCACGCTGTAATATATTTATTACATAACTGATATGCAAGAGTTCAACATATTATCTAATATTTAAATAATACATGCATATTATTACCACCACGAAGAGAACTTGATATTGTGGGTCCACCGTCAGCAAAAAAAGACCTGTTGGAAATAGCAAAATATTAATTAATATATTGAACACTTATATATAAGTTATGTAATAAATATATTTGGTACTCTGCCATTTTTTATAATCAAAGATACTTGCATTTATAATGTGTCATTATGGAAAGTATTACGTTTTATCGACCCAATTCTGTATGAAACACTTGTAATTGCAAAATTTATCATATTTGGTGTTTACTAGCTACGACTATGTTTGTATACATTGCGTGCCAAATTATTATCCAAATAACTTTTTTTTCTAATATTTCAAAAACCGTCCAATCAATTCACACAATTTTCACCCAATGTTGGCAACACTGATCTGCGTAATCACTGAAATTTTTGTACTGATCTGCGCAATGTAATCTTTCGAGTTTATTATGTTTGTATTTTCTACTAGTATATTTCGGATGGAGACTGGTAAGTTTGTGTGTGTTCTAATGGAACTGTGGTCAGATAGGTGTAACGTAAGGCGTCTGGATAGTCATGTAGTAGTGTGATTGATGTAATTATTTATAAATTCGGTTTGGTCATGAACACTTGTTCGAAGACAAGGAAAATTAAATGAAACGCTTAATCATAGTACCTTGTCTGTCGTCTTTAATGAAACCTGTATGAATGAAAAAAAATTGCCTATATATATATGTGTGTGTGTGTGTGTGTGTGTCCATCCCAGTTAATTAGGTCACGTTTTAAGCAAAAGCGAAGTCTTGAAAAGACAAATACATACATAACTACATATTTCGCTTATATGGTCCAGCAAGCTCTTTAATTGGGCCACTATGAACAAACGATGCAGACTTGTGTTGGACATTGTTAAACACATTTAGCGCTAATTTTCATCAGGTCCTATCTGATGTGTATCAAATGTTTTAACTTTTAAAGTATCGGTACATTTATATGCGTCATTTAGACAACCGTATCTATATAGGGTGTGTCTATAGTAAATATCTGCTTATTTATAGATCCCCCGTCACAGAGCGACTGTTGAAATTCTCGCTTCTTGTATTGATCCTAATAAATTTTACTCTCATTTGATACACCATTAATTTTAATCGTGCGATAATCTCCTTACATTTTGGAGGTTATCAGTTTTTTCATATATATAAAGGCAGAAAAGAAATTAATGGTATAAAACAGTAAGGTGTATCTCATATTTGCATTTTTTTAGAAAGAGCAGCTTTGAGCATGCGCAAAGCAGCGAGTTCTTTGCAATAGCTTTCTTGGCGCAGGTGGATGGTATGCTTTAATTTGAAAGTTTCTAACGTAACATTTTCTTCTCTAATCAAATGCATATCAATCAGCTAAACAAAAATATATATTATTCCAAAAATCGCTTGAAAATGAAACAGTACTAGGGATTTAAAGTTTTAGTTTTTGATACATGCTAATTCCTGTGTAACGATGGGACCATATTTTTAAGTTAGTAAATTTATAATGTTTATACTCTACAGAATTGTACGGTACACTTTTAAAAAAAAAAAATAACACCGGATTGTAAATCTTCCTATATATATATATATAATAGTATCGGCCAGAAGAAAACAATGCCTTATTTTTACATGAGGTTGAAAGAAGAGTTAAAAAGAAAGATAGAAAAATGACATCGGGGCAAGAATTAATGCTGTGCTTAATGGACAGGAAAATAACGTCACTGGGAAAGATGGCCTTTCTCGTGTATTTTTATATTTAAAAAAAAAAATGCTATATCATCTAACCGTATCACAAATATTATTTACAGATAAACTGATTTGACAGAATATTGCCTGTTAGGAAGGCATGTTCGAGGAAAGATGTCTTCGAAACGGAAGAAAATTGTCTTCTCTAAGAAGTGAAAAAGCATTTGGTACCACGCTTTATTCTGAATGAGAAAGTTGACAGTGGGATTCGGGAAAAAGACTGAAAATAATGGCCGTTCAGAAAAAAGATGAAACAAAAATAAAAAGTTTATGATTGACGAATCGTGGAAAGAAATTGCTGAAAATAAAGAATGGTTGAGATTTGAAACAAAGGAAATGAAAAATGGCGCGGATAAATAAAACAAGCAAAGAGAAGTGGAAAAACAAAATGGCTGCAAGAATGGAAAAAAAAAAGAATGGAAAAAAAAAAAAAAGAATGAAAAAAATCAGAATAAAAAAACAACTTGGAAGAAAGAAAAGAAAAAAAATATATGGGAAATAAAAAAAAAAACACGGTAATACAGTGAAAATGGAAAAGTATTAAAAAAAAACCAAACAAAAACATCCTGACCTGGCATCTCGTCTACAGTCACTTTCTCACAGACGTGATGTGGCTTCCCTCTGTCTTTTCTACAAGTACTTTCATGGCAACTGCTCTGACGAGCTACTTTCACTGGTAGCCCAACTGCATGAATTTGAACGTACTACTAGGTTGGCATCTCGGTCTTACCCTTTCACTGTCGAAACAGTTAAATGTAACTGCCTTTTCTACTCCAAAAGCTTCTCTCGCACTTCCCCACAATGAAACTCCCTTCCTCATACCCTGCTTCCCTCATAACTATAACCTTCAAATATTCAAATGTAATGTCAATCGACGTCTTCTGATGCATTGATCATGATCCCCGTCTTTCTCTATATCCTTTCCTCAAACACCTCGCCTTACTCTTGCTTTCTGCAACCTCTTGCGTGCTAGTGACACTCCCGCCTTTCTTGAAGTGAAATGCTTAAAAAAAAAAAAGAAAAAAAATTTAATAAAATGAAAAAATCTGATAAATGAAATGAGTCAGGCTGAGAATTTTTCAGCAGTCTTGTACGTCAGGAAAATCAATTTTTTTTTTTTTTTTTTTTGTGGGCGGGGTCGTGGGTAATGGAGAAAATTAACAGTATATGAAAGAAAGATAGAAAAATTAAAATAAAAAAGACAAACGTTTAGGAAAGGTAAAAATTTCTTTAGATAATTGTGAATTAATTTTCAGTGATATAAAATACAGTGTGAGGAAAAGAGAACCCCCCCCCAAAAGTAATCATGAATGAATAAAGAAGAGACCAAGAAAGGGAAGGGAAAGGAAAGAAAAGAAGAGACCAAGAAAGGGAAGGGAAAGGAAAGAAAAGAAGAGACCAAGAAAGGGAAGGGAAAGGAAAGAAAAGAAGAGACCAGGGAAGGGAAAGGAAAGAAAAGAAGAGACCAAGAAAGGGAAGGGAAAGGAAAGAAAAGAAGAGACCAAGAAAGGGAAGGGAAAGGAAAGAAAAGAAGAGACCAAGCAAGGGAAGGGAAGGGAAATGAAAGAAAAGAAGAGACCAAGAAGAAAGGGAAGGAAGGAAATGAAAGAAAAGAAGAGACCAAGAAAGGAAGGGAAAGGAAAAAAGAAAAGAAGAGACCAAGAAAGGGAAGGGAAATGAAAGAAAAGAAGAGACCAAGAAAGGGAAGGGAAATGAAAGAAAAGAAGAGACCAAGAAAGGGAAGGGAAATGAAAGAAAAGAAGAGACCAAGAAAGGGAAGGGAAATGAAAGAAGAGACCAAGAAAGGGAAGGGAAATGAAAGAAGAGACCAAGAAAGGGAAGGGAAATGAAAGAAGAGACCAAGAAAGGGAAGGAAATGAAAGAAGAGACCAAGAAAGGGAAGGGAAATGAAAGAAGAGACCAAGAAAGGGAAGGGAAATGAAAGAAGAGACCAAGAAAGGGAAGGGAAATGAAAGAAGAGACCAAGAAAGGGAAGGGAAATGAAAGAAGAGACCAAGAAAGGGAAGGGAAATGAAAGAAGAGACCAAGAAAGGGAAGGGAAATGAAAGAAGAGACCAAGCAAGGGAAGGGAAGGGAAAGGAAAGGAAAGAAGAGACCAGGGAAGGGAAGGGAAAGGAAAGAAAAGAAAAGAAGAGACCAGGGAAGGGAAGGGAAAGGAAAGAAAAGAAGAGACCAAGAAAGGGAAGGGAAGGGAAAGGAAAGGAAGGAAGAGACCAAGCAAGGGAAGGGAAGGGAAAGGAAAGAAGAGACCAAGAAAGGGAAGGGAAGGGAAATGAAAGAAGAGACCAAGAAAGGGAAGGGAAGGGAAATGAAAGAAGAGACCAAGAAAGGGAAGGAAAGAATAGCTACAACATTGTTTTTGACGGCTTATCAACCCTTTGTGGGTTATCTAAAGACGAACCATTTTGAATTGCAAGAATGCTTTCTTTGCGAGTGAATAATACATTAACAATTTTTTGATAACTTACTATTTAACCTATAGCTGGGGGAGAAGAGGATTCATACATTTCCTAATGGTATTTTCACGTAAGCTTCGAGAAAGGAACGATTATAAATGTTCATATTTTAAGAAAGCAACGAAAATAACGAGGAAAAAAAGAACAATATATTTGACAAAGAAAAAAAGTCTGGAAATAAGTAATGAAAAGCCAAAAAAAAAAAAAAAAATCAAGGAAAAGAGAAATAAACCGTAGAAAAGAGAAGAAAAGAAGCTCTTAAAAGAAAGAGGATTGCAACTAAGAGGGGGAATGCATTTTAAAAATATACAAGAAAACCAAACCCAGAACAGCATGGAGAAATCTTGTGACATGTTGACTTGTCATGGAAGTCAGAAGAAAAAAAAATCCGTTGAAACAAAACGCTATTCTTTACATGTAAACATGAAAAAATGACTTCCCATTAAAATACGAAGCCAAACAACGACGTAGTATTAGACATGTCGTAAAGAATTCAACCGTTTTAATATAAACGAAAAAAAATAGCCCACCTATGACAATGTCACTTAGTACACTGAAAATTATATTCCTTGAGACCCCACACTTATCTCAGCACCCGCTTCTATTTTGCAAAGATATCAGAAAAGCATTTTCGACTGTTTCGTTGCGTTAGCCTTACTCTCAAACAGTTTGATATTCTCCTTTTAACGTGGTTTTAATCTCGTGAAAATCCATTTGTTGCAAGGAGATGACTGGAAATCTCGAGGGGCTTAGTTCTAAAGGTCTGAACTGGTGAAACTGAAGGATGTAGCGTGTCAGAACATTTGTCATGGAAACAGCGATAGAGGTAGCTTGTCAGAACATTTGTCATGGAAACAGCGATGGAGGTAGCTTGTCAGAACATTTATCTTGGAAACAGCGATAGAGTAAGGAGAGGCTTAGCTGAAAAGGGCTGAACCTAATTATCTCTGGGTGATGCGATGTTATAGCAAAAAAAAATAAATTCCTGAACGAGAAAGAAAAATGACCATAAGTAACGACATGGAAAACGGAAATAGTTATAACGATTACTCAATGGCGCCAAACTTGAAATTGTATCAAGCAAATCATTATTTCCCCCCAAAAATTCTTACAGCCTTTAAAATAGATGCTGGGGGTTGAAATGCCGTAAAAATCAAATCCCGCTAGTTTTTTTTTGTGTGTTTTTTTTTTTTCTTGTTTTGTTTTATTTTTTAACTAATTGTTCGCCCATTACAAGACACAAGAGGAACTCAAGATAGAAATACTGAACTAGGTTTTTATGGGTATAAGCGGTGTCATTTATAAGCATGTACGATAATAGTTAATCCTGTTATACTTCCTACATATACTACATACTCGATTAGCATCTCGAGGCAGTGTAATGGTTAGCAAGCTTGTCTCGCTAGAACAATCACGACTGAGTAGTGCGTTCGATCCTTACTAGATGCCCTATACTTTCAGCATTGTGCCACATCTAAGCTACGCTTAAAAAAATCACTATACTAGGTACTCGATTTGTCAGGAAGGTGACTTCTTGATGTTATCGGGGAAGAGATCTTTGAAAAGTGGCTGAAAACCATACTACGAGTTGACCCAAGCCTTTTGAGTGAATGTGAGTGGACGTGACCCTTGGGATCCGCCCATGGTTGTGCTAACACGGTAACAGGTATTCGAGACTGAGAGTTTGAGTGTGTTAGCCTGTTCAGATTGTTGTTCACGCTAGATAACGCGCTCTATCCTAGTAACTGTCCCTAAGGTCTGCTCAGCATAGTTGCAGTATAGACCATAGATGGGCTGTGTGCGTGTTGAACAAACAAATATGCCTGAGCAGGTGTCTGCAATGTGGATTAACTAGCCGCTCTAGTAGACTGACATCCTCGGATACGATTGGCTGCTTTAAAACTAAACGCAAAAAATCAACAGTTAACCCTATAAACTTAGCTAAAAAAAAATCAACAGTTCACCCTAAATATGAAGCTTTCGAGAGTGTAGTGATCAAGGAAGTATCCTCTTGGGAGTCTGTTCCACAAAGTCGGGGCTCACGGAATGAGTCTGTTCGAATGGAATTACCTTCTCAGTAATGGAATGCGAAAGAAATGACGATCATTCGTCCCAGTGTATGTCGCATATCGGGGTTTAGGAGTGAATGTTAGACCTGGTGGAACTAAAGAATGTAGCTCGTCAGAACATTTGCCATGGAAATAGCGACAGGGTAATGAGAGGACTGTGACAATTCGTCTGTAGGTTGAAGGGGAAAGGTTGCAGAGTAGACAATAATTCATGATCCACGTTTGTTTTACCTTGTGATGTCACCTATCTCTTTCAATTAATCAGGGTATATATGACATTTATTCCCAACCCAAACCAGAGATTGAACTCACCTCTATCAAGTAGCTATATATATATATATATATATATATATATATATATATATATATATATATATAATTTGATGCCCTAATACACTAATATATATATATATATATATATATAAAGATTATTAAATATAACAGATAATGAATGTCTTGTGTCTGATCATGAGCCGTTCGAATGTTTGCTTTAATTTCTGGTGAAAATAAAGACAAAAATTGTTTAACATTTGGATATTTTTTTAAGTTGGTCCTAAGCTTTCGGCTCACATGAGCCATCGTGAGCATGGTTACACAGATATGAAACAAAGATATCCACCGTCAAACATGATATTTTGACAATAATGGTCACGGAATAGCAAACGCATATCATAAGTTCAATTAACGTTGCATAGACTAGACTATCTTATCTATATGCTTGACCAAAGCTTTTACCAAGATGGAGACACTAGTTCGAGCAAATCGGTGTATAATAATGCGAAACTTCTCATAGCAAATATTCAGGCGAAAATGATTACTCAATCAAATATGACGACAGGTTTAGTGAGAATTCAAGTCTTTCCAATGAAGATGAGATTGCGAGCCGTGCCGATTGAAATCCGCCATCAAGATCGACCGTCAATGGATTCTTTTCTCCGTGCCGTATGTTATCCACAAATTACTGTCCGTTCTCTCTCCTTATTGTCATTTCTATCTCTGCCGCCAGTGACCAATAGTTCTGTTTCTTCATTTTGGTGAGATAAGTCCCTTGCTATTAAAGTGGAAACAAATTATTTCTAGCCGCATACATTCGCCTCTCTTTCTGTCTCTTCTACTTCATATACAGGTTGCGATGGATAAATTGTCGTCTAAATGACACCAAAATGGAAATAACACCGGCGTCTCATTTTAACATATATTTACCAAAATGTCACCAAAATATCTTTAAATACTAAAGACTAAATGTATTCAATAAAGTCGCCATTGACTTCAACTACGGCCTCCAGATGGCTTCAGAATCTCCTGCATCTCTTTTGGACGGTCTCCTTGTTTCAGTTGGTGAATTCTGCCACAATCCTTGCTTTCAGTTCATCTTTAGTGTTACAAGGAGTTCTGTTGATTTCTCGCTCAACTGCGTCCCACACATAATAAACGTTGCAGTCTCAGGAGTTAGGTGATAAGGTTTGCTGTCATCGCAGATATTGTCTGACAACCATAATTGTGTTCTCCTTGTTCGCTGGCATGGTGCAGAGTCCTGTTAGAAGATATAGGTTCTTCCAGCAGCGACCTTCTTCAGCACTACCTCTTCAACGCACTTGATGTAGGCCAACGTGTTGTGTCTGAGGCCCTGTGGGTAAATGTAGAGAGAGATAACGTCGATCACCCCAAACACCTTTGTTGTCCTCATTAAACTCCTCCAACTCTTTCCGAATCCTCTGCACGGTTCTCAAATTGACACCCAAACACCGAAATCTTAGTATTGGAGCTTTCGGCATGAATGCATACTTTTTCCAAATTTCTGGCGGTGTGAATTGCGTCATGGTGTGTGTTTTTTTTTTTTGTTTTTTGTTACACACAGTGTCCAACTGACCCTACTATACTGAGCAATCGACAAAATCACAACGCGTATGCAGAAAATTAAAAATATAAAATGGTGACAATTTACCCATTGCATCCTGTAAAATCAGCACATAAAGGTGACTGTCTGCTTCATGCTAAACGCAATCTTCAAGCCTGGCGATTGCGTTTTGCATAAAACAGTCCACTTTTATTATTTACATACGCTGTATCCATGATATTGAGAACTTTAACCTATAAATGTAGCATACCTTAAAACTATATTTCATCTCACACACACTTATTATATATATATATATATATATATATAATCTCGAAAAAAAAATCGATTCTCCCGTCGGGTTCGACGTATGAGGGTCAAGCAGATCAGTTTCCAGGAAACTGACAGCCCGACACGGGCACATGAGATTTGATTATAGTGGTGTAGGCTTCGTGCAGGACCATCCACACTTTTTGAAGGGACGAATACAGAGACCTGGTGTACTGAATGCCACAAGGTTCCCAAACGACCCTCCGCAGGTTTTTGAATTCAGAGTTGTCCTTCTCCTAGACCAGTTGCCATCCAAGGCTATAGAACCCAGTCTGTCCTCCTATTTTACCCATAGCTGGAGGGAGAAGAGGAGGATTCACACCTTTCCCAAGGGTATTAGCAAGTAAGTGAGTGTAATGGATTCGAACTCGGCTCTGCGATTCCTCCCTCAAGCAAAAATGTCACTGATGTAAGAGGTTACTGAGAGTGAAAGAAAATGAAAAACTTTGGAAGGGACCGGAAACCCGACGATAAATTATATAATAACAGGCCAATTGTTCTTTCTTTCCAAATGCTTTTGGCTATAAATGTAGCGATTTTTCAAGGTTGAACTGTTAACAAGAAATACTTTGTTGTTTGTCTATATTTCTGAGATTATTATGTCCTCAAGGACACATGGCACAGTGGATAAAGGCGTTGGTTAGATCCAGTGACAGACCCAAAGAAGGTGAGTTCAATTCCTGGTTAAGGCAGTGGAGAACTTTCAGAGGGAAAATTAGCAGGAGATAACTGACATCCATCAAACATGGCACGTGGAATTAGAACAGTCTACCCCAGCGATCGAAATAAAGGGTTCGGTTCGAAATTCCAACCACCTGAAGAAGGCCGGAGCGTACAACGGCCGAAACGTTGTGACAAAGATGAGGACAATAGTCCGACTAATGTAAATACTTTGTTGTATGTATGTATTTGTATAATGTTTTCATTTTCAAAACACGGTCAATGTGTCCATGTTCATACTTTATATTATATAGTTTTCATATAATTTATCACCGAAAAGAAAAACATTATTAGATCACATGAGAAATTGTATAAAAAACTAAATCAAAGCACCTTGTCTGCAATGAATGAAATATATATATATATATATATATATATATATATATATATATATATATATATATATATAGTTTGATTCTCACTCCGTGTTCTGGCTTAAATATACTTTTTGAAGACTGAGCCAAGCTTGATAAATGCATATTTATATAAAATCTATTCGTACGAATTAATAAAATAAAGAAAGTAAGCAAATACAATGACAGATCTCCTGGTGTTTCTTTTAAGAATCCACTCACTAGAATTTTTTGCAATAAATAAAAAATACCAGAATGGTATGAGAAGTGAATATAAATGTCCTTAAAATTCCCTGTCATTTCTGAGAAAAAAATGGTCGAGAATTATTAAATCGAACATTTAATTCAGACTTTCTTTAGAGATTAATTAAATAAAATAATGCAAAAAAAGTGCAAGCAAGAATCACTGTGTCCAATTCAAAAAGAAATATATCAGCATTTAAATATGACTGGAAAATCAATAAGATTTTAAAGTTTTAATTCAAGTAAAAATTGTTTTGAAGCCCTGTGGGACATGTAACCTTGTACATGTGATGCACAGAAAATCTTAATCAAAAATATACATACAGTCGTTAATGACACAATGCTCCGTCCAAGGATGAAATTCTATTTTTAAAAAGATCGCTGAAGAGTGAAAGATTCCCAGAAGCGAAAGGCTTGTAGTTGTTATTCGTTTATAGCGAAATTGTTTAATACTCTAAATTGCCTTCGGATTTGGAATTGTTTAACAAATTTAAAACAAGCAGCTTTGTTTTTGCTGTAGCGTTTTTGAATAAATTAATCACTGTCCTTTAAAACGCAACGAACAAAATAGATACTAATAAAAATGTCTGGAATAATTAAAGTACTTCGCCGCCAAATCTCACTAGTGCTACTAATTAGGCGACCGAATGGCATGGATCTTATCAGAGGGAGACAATGACTATATAATCATAAATAACGCCTGTAACGTCACTGAAGGTCAAAAGGACTCATATTTGTAGATCGCATAATAAAACTCACTGCATTAGTGCAGGTCCATTTTGGAACTCTAGTATTGCACTCAATTTTAAAGTTGGGTTTTAAGATGCTAAGTAAAGACATGAAATATTATTTTAAAACTTGTTACGGTTTTTTGAGGATATTTCAAGATTAAGTTTAGGTTCAAAATCGTAGCGTTGGCATTTCATTCTGGTGATTAGTGAAAGCCTTCTGATGTAATGTTTTATTGTTCCGTTTTCTTAACGTTTTCCTCGTATTCTCTCTCTCTAACCCCTTGCGTCTCAGTGGCTTTAATGCCTTGCTTGGGATGAAATGATTTTAAAACAAAGCCACTCTTTTCAAGTTACAGTTGAGGCTATTGCGTTCCCTTTCGCACAAATAACATCCACGTAAGGGTAAGACGATAAACTACATCCAACAGCAAGGCCTCTGATCAGGAGGTTTTGAGGAGCGTAGAACCAACTCTTAATTGCTGGTGTTCCCAGGTCCGCCCTGACTCGGGGTGGTAGCACCTGTTGGGGTGCCAGTTATGGGCAAATAGTTAACCACCAAACTGGGTTTAAAATACCATGAAAGTGTAAAAATGGGGTTTTAATAACGGGAATACTTTCTAAAAACAATTATTATCAGCAATACATTTTTTGAAGGAAAAATATTACCAGCAATAAAAATTTTGTCCGCATTAAATAACACATTGAGGTGTTGACATGCCGCAAAACAAACCAAATCAAATAACCGTCGAAAGGTATGAATCTGTCTCTCCTCTACCCCAACTTAGGAATTAATAGTAGTGCAGAATGGGATGTATAGCTTTAGTTGGCGGCTAGTCTATAACAACTCGTTTAAAATCGGTTGAGTAGAGGGCTGGCAACCCCAACCCAGATGATATCTACTTGATACAGAAACCATAGCAGTAAGAAGTGAAGCTGTGGCCCAAAACAACAACAGGAGTCGACAGGGTAAACATATATATATATATATATATATATATCTCAGTTTTAATATGAGGCAGCAGTTTTATGAATTTTACTACATTTTCGAAGATGCGCATTATTAATCTGGACTCTAAATTGGGTTGGTGCATAATTATCAGGCGTTTGGTTAGGAGAGTTATTTGTTAATAAAAATTGCTGTTTTGTTTAGTTTTTTAATATAAATATTTTATTTTCAGATTATAAAAATGAGTGTCGATAATCATACGCTCCGGAATAATCATTTAAAAATGTTATTGATGTTATGTTTCTTTTTTCATAATATTGTTTAAAAAACGTCTGATAATTATGCACCAACCCGATACAAGAATTATTATGCTTCAATTACAAGCTATAAATACAGAACTTGTGCCTAGTTTAAAAGGGGTTTTTTTTTTTTTTTTTTTTTTTTTTTTTAAAAGGAACAAACTGTCATTGCCATGACGAGTTATAAATAAAAAAAAAATCAATGTGATAGTTATGGATCCGCTAATCTAAACCTTCCTTTATAAAATACTTCACAAGTTTCTAATCTGTTGATGGTTGAGTGAACAGGCTGGCTACTGAACCTTTTTTTTTTTTTTTCACTCTTAGCAAAT